GAAAGCATAAGAGTGCATTAGCGCAGGCCTTCTATAAAATGCGTTTAATTTATAAAGGGATTGAAAATCAGTACAGGTAAAAATGCCGACTACGACAAGGAAGACTGGGATGGCCATTTATGCCTTATTAGCCGTCGTTAACCAGACAGTCGGACCTGAGATTTGAACTCGGGTTGTTTCGTCTTTGAGCTACGGGCCCCTTGTTCTGTCGTTTGCGATCGGGAATACTATTTTGGCAGCGCGTTCACCGATCAGGCCATGAGACGTGCTCAGTCCAGTGGCGGAGCGTTGGCCTAAACAATGCTCGATGACCAAAGGACACTGGTTCGAATCGCAGGCTCTGCAGAGCTGGGATTGTGGAAGTCCTGGTGACGACGGCTGATAAGCCAGAAATTGCCATTCTATTCTCCTTTGATTTGGCCGACATTGTTCGGCATATACTACTGGCAGCTGTGCGACCGCCTAGGAGGGCTCCAGATTGCGGCCCAAGGCACAAAGGGACGAGCATGCCCCTTGACTCGATCAGTGAGCCCATTCCCAGCAGGTCAATTCAACAAGATCTTATTTCGTAGCCTTACCTGTTAGCGGTTAGCGCTAGGGGTCAAGGGTTGGGGTTAGGCTGGTACTTGTCTACTGCAGGTACGGCTACGAAATAAGATCCGACCGTCAATCCATACCACGTAGCATTTTTTCAAGATCTTCATGGTTTGTGTCTGAGCTGAAATATGCGTTACAACACGGCGTTCCAGCAATAAAGACTCAGTATCTTACCTCTTGTACAATTGCAGGATGTGAACAGACGTGTTTCCGACGTCGTGGCTGGGCCCAGCCTTGACAATGCGGACGGAAATATTATATTGCCGACCCCTTCCACAGCATCACTAGAGGCAAACTCGTCTACTCCAACTTCCCTAACTGCTTCTCTACTAGCGAGTTCAATGCTCGAACAGCTGAGTCCCGATACCCTCTGGCCGAAGAATCCTCAACTAGCTGTCCGCCTTTTCTCAGTGAGTGAGCTCCTTTCATGAATTTCCTTAGCTGTCGCCCCATTTTCAGAAATTACTCACTTAATGCCTTGATCCGTATTTTTAAACTCCCGGGTTTTGCCCGTGTTTTTCTGCTGCCATTATTAAAAGTGCAACTAACAGACCCCTGCGCGAAATTGCCGATCACTTCTCAGTCTTTCTTTGTTACTGTTACACTCTCAGCTTACCCTCAATCGCCTCTGCTTGACTCTGCGCACATGCTCGGACTGCGATGTCGTCACCGTCATGCAAGAAGAGTCCCTGGCCCTCGTTCTGGGAATGTTGGCCTTTTACGTCAACCATATGGAGGTAATTTTCCTGTTTGCCACTGCGCGTACCCCATCCTCTGATGTGCGCGCACAATTTTTAAGCGCAAAACATGGTTACTGAAATATCAAAAGTAGCGATAGTTGGCAACATTAATGTGTTTACACCGCCAGGTAGGCGACAAGGTGCCGTCGGCAGTACGCGATTGCTTTGCCCATTTGGTACCCCTGCTGCAGCAAGTGGAGCAGGTAGTATCGACTCGTGCCAGTGCGTCAAGAGATCTGGCTCGACAGTTGCGCATCTCTCTGTGCACTCGTGGCGCGGTTCCTGCAGACGAGACGCCACTGGTTCCACCAGGGGTCGACGTGGAGGCTGAACCATCTGAGCGGGCCTCTCTGCTTTTTCCCACGTAAGTTTTCCGCCTTTATGACTTTTCATCCGTTCTGGCGTATTCGTTATGGTGTGTTTTGTTTTCGTCTAGCCTTAATACTCCCAACCAGAATCGCTCATCGAAGCCACTGATCGAAGAGATATTTCCAGCTAACTCGACAGGAGATGCCACTGCAGAAACTGCGCCCACGGAAATGGACGAAAAGTTGGCTTCAGCCTTCGAACTTCTTCGCGATCCGCTGCTACCGGTCCGTGGGCACGGTCTTATTGAAATAAGCCGCCTTCTGGAGAGCCGGGATCCGGCTGTGCGCGGGTTTGAGGACAAAATTTATGAGGTTTGGCTTCATTCACAACTGTTTGCTCACTTACCATCGTTGATCTGATTTTACATTGCGTATGAAGGCAATCCTTTTGTTTGCACACGTTTTCTCCCTTTAGGTTTTGGTTAAACAGTTGGATGAGGAGGATAGCTACCTCTACCTGAACGCGGTCCGCGGTCTTTCGGCTCTCGGTAATGCATATACGGATCGTTTGCTTCCAGTGCTTCTGCATCACTTCCACTCGCCAAAGCCCGCAGCCCCGCGTATTGAATTTCGACTGAAGATGGGTGAAGCCATCGTTCGTGTGCTGAGAGACCTAGGCGCGTCCCCTCCTCACCGATATTATCCACTATAAAACATTTACTAAAATGATTTAAGTAGCACGAATTTAGTTCTAATACGTGCCGGCCTCGTGTAGATTGTAACTTGCCTGTTTTTCTTTATCCCTTTTCAAGGTCAAATGGCGGTAAAGTACAGGGACCTAGTTATGTCTGGTCTCCTTAAGGCATCTTCTGACCCAGATGAATACATTCGTGCTGCCAGTCTTTCAAACATGGCTGAAATCGCCTGTCTTCTGCGTCACGGCATCCAACCAGTCGTTTATGAAGTGAGTGCGCTACTGACAGCCTTCTTCCCAATAGAATCAACCGTTTCGTGCATAGAATTTATAAGCCTGCCGACGGGCATTGATAACTAACCCCTCCCCGTCTGTTCATTCAGATATGCGGCGTTATTGAGGATCATCTGAAGCATGACTCATCTCCTTGCGTGCGCAGATCAGCTGCCTTCCTTGCAGCACGGGGTCTCTTTCAGGGTGCCCCGGGCGACCCGCTGCCCTCCTTCCTTCCGGCGGACGTACTTCGCGACGTTCATCGCCTGCTCACCGACCAATCACGCATCGAGAGGGACCCCAGTGTCCTCGAACAGATCGAAGCGGCTCTGGGCCAACTTCACGCGCGAACACAGTCCAGCGTATTTCTCAAGCCGGACAGCGCAGATTCCCTCGTTAAGGAAATTCACGTTATCCGGCCCTTTGAAGACTGATGCCCTACTGCTGCGAAGGTCCAGATCGTGTACATATATACTACTACTGACAATTCATGCTTTACTTTTATTCTTTTTCTTGCTGGACAGGAAATTGCTGATCATGGCGTCCCTGACCATTAGCACGTTCAGTCAAGGCTGCGCAGAACATAGCCGTCCGGTCGTACAAAAAACGGCTAAACCAAGGGTCATCCTTTTATTTTTGTGGCTTCGTGGGGGTGGGGGTGGGGGTGGTTTCCGTTGTACGTGGTTTCGAAAATGGACGCTAAGCACACTCACGGCGTTCAGCAGGGAATATGCAAAATACCCCGAGTTTCCAACACCGACTTATTCAACCCTTTTACGGTAGAGTTCGGCGGTTGTAAACGACGATGCCCACCGGTGCTGCGTCCCACGGGGTGACTGAGAACGCCCGGGAAGTGGACAGCTCAACGCTCCAGAGTTCACAACTTCTCCGTCAGGAGGGTTGCTTCATCCTTGACTTACCATATGTTGACTTACCTTTTGGTTGCAGTTGCAGCCTCATCCTGAAAATGACCGGGCAAGAGTATGGTGTGTAACCCCCTTTGGGAGACCGTATTTAACTACAAGCCTAACGCCAACCATGGGCATGCCTTCACTGGGAAATCTCTAACCTACGTAAGCATTGAAAGAAAACTCGGACGTGACCGTAATCATAAACCAAACCCTAAAACCCCAACCCCATGCTCCATCCCAAATTCGAGCCATAGCCCAAGCCTGGAAACCCTATTCTCAAGAACAACACAATTACCACCAATTTTGACCGTTGCCCAAACCCTAACCTTGAGCCAAAAATGGACAACTTTAATATCGATAACGCTATTGGAGGTCGACATTTCCTTCCTGCACAACCCCTTTCGCGATCTACTGCCAGGCAAACTGTTATGAAGCACACCAACTGCCCAGGGAGGTTACATACCCTACCCTTACTAATTACAAGGCAATGGCCCCTCGTCAACACACACCATATTGTCACCAGCACTTCGCGCTGGTCACGGCTCCGAACTAGGACTTATACCAGCAGATAGCAGTGACGCGACCAAGGGTACATCCACATCGCCTTGCCTCACAACGGGGGCCGGCAGAAATTGTTGATCGGGCGAAAATTGGGTTCCTTGCAGGCGGGCAGGATGAGCGGGTCAATACTGTTGGTGCTGTTGATCCCATAGCGACAGAGCACTCCCACAGAGGCAGCCACGGTCTTTGTCGGCGCCGACATCCGGGTCACCAAGAGCAAACAGTTTGTCCGCCTTTGACGCATTTGTTAAGGAAGCGTGCAGGTCTTCGTGAATTTGTTACCCGCGTCGTCGGACTTGCTTATTGATGAGGGCAAGGACGCTGATAGTGATATTTATTCCCGCGAACTGACAGCCTTCTGACTCCAGGTTAAAAGGTTGCGTGTTCTTATCACGTCGGGGTCACCATTATCGTGGCAGGCTAGGCCGAGAGTGAGACCCTGAATACCACGGCCTTCAGGCTCGGTCCTGAACGGAAAGAGAAGATGGACGCCATTCGGGAGGATTATATCTTCCGTACAAAATAACTAGAGAAGGAGTTGAAGGGAGTCGGAAGCCGGAGGAGGCAAGTCCGGTGTCCGGTGAGCGGCGTCCCTAGTGTGTGAGGGGATACGTCACAGCGTCACAAGTCAGGACACGTCTGGCTGGGCCTTGAATGTGATTGGTCAGTTGGAAAGC